AATCAGGACGTGTTTCTCGTTTGAATTGTTTTACATTTGTTTATTCGGGGCCTTCTATACCGTGCTATGCGGTATGGATTTTGCTAATTGTGGAAGGCCGTACGATGACATATAGTTGTAAACTTTTACATTATATACCTAGTTTGAAATTTTCAGAGTTCTGTGTTAATTGTTGAAATTCTTTTATTATGTTATATTATCTCATAAAAGAAGGCTAATTACCCTTTAAATACACTTGTTTTATATAGCTTCAGTATTAAAAAAAGATACATCATAAAAAAATATGTTATTGTCCTTTGGAATCCATTTCAATTTAAATTAATTTCACACTGCAATAGACCGAACAAGGACGTTTAGGAAAAAACAATGTTTTTTTTAATGTGTAAAAGAATATCATTTTTTTCAAAATTCAACGGTTGCCCCGTCGAGTTGGTTCAGTAAAGTATAACGATTTCCGAGAGAAAGAGATGCTTATCTATAATAGGTCTACCTTTTTTTTATTATAGTCAACGCGTATGAAATGACAAATTAAAGTTTTTGTCGTGTTTCTACATCGTAGTATCTTGGAACCACTTAACGTATGCACAACACCAACTTCTTAAACGGTCTTACTCTTGTTTGAGATCGACAGCTTTGTCGATTTGTACCTGAACTTGCAGTGATTTTATGACCTTAAATTTTCTATTGGCAAAAATAGACGACATCGAAAAGGTATCTTCATGTGATTCTTTTAATAATAACAAGAGCACTTAGTGTATGGTAGATATAATACTAAAGATTGATGCGAAATGCAATAGTTGTTTGAAGACGAAAACTCCTATAAATATCGTTAGAACCAGCTGACCCGGAAAGGGATGCCATAATTAAATATCATCAAAAGCATATACACTTTATTCACGATCAGGCATCCTACGATTGACAGCAGTTTAGTTATCAATACATGGCTCTGATTCCCGTGAGAACTTCCAATATTAAGGTTTATAGTGTATTTGTCAATCCTAGACGAAGACGATTGATAAAACACGAATTAACAAGACCCAGTCTATAATTTGTATAAAAACTTCGTCTGTAATGTAAAAGTTTCCTGAAATGTTTACATTGTTATTAAATGTAAAAATTAGTAGTTCTGCAATGTGTTTGATGATTATTGATGTTTAACGTAACTTTCAGTCGAATTTATTTAGCTATATCATACATAACAGCCAGGTTTTATTAGTGAAGGAAACCGGCGTTTCAAAAGAGAACCACAGATATTTATTATTCGGCAGGAAATCTGATAGCCCTAGTCATTAAAGATCGGAGTCGAATGTACATTACCGAATCGAACTCACTGTTAGATAAAATGGGCTTAATCAAGGTTTTTAATGTAATATTTCGACTTCTGAGTTATGTCCCCTTGATATCTTCCATCTCTTTTATAAACATTATAATGATTGAAAAGTAAAAATGTTATTAAGGTTAAAATCGAGTACGTAACTATTGCTCAGTTTAGAAAACAGAGAGTACAACAATAAAACCAAAATGATTGCGGAGTGGAATGACTGTAATTACTAATCTGAAAGAAGCAGATGCTACATAAATTATAATTTACTTACATGCATGCGACAGAAGTTAAATCAGTTATAATTTACTACAGGCATGCGACAGTTGCTACATCAAATATAATTTACTTACACGCATGCGACAGAAGCTACACCAGTTATAATTTTACTTACAATGATCTTCAACTTCATATTTTATTTGGCCTTTTTAACTTTTTTTTATTCGAGCGTCACTGATGAGTCTTTTGTAGACGAAACGCGCGCCTGGCGCAAATACAAAATTTCAATCCTGGTATCTATGATGAGTTTATTTACATATATACACTAAAATTTTAGACATATTTTCTTTCATGCCATCGTGTTGGTTTACCTTTTTAAAATTCTAGATATTTACCAAGTATAGCTGTGTCGCCGATATTTCTGATTAGAAATCATGTATTAAAATCAATGTCCATATAAAGTGACAGTTTTTATGACAAATTAAATATCAGCTAGCGTAATTTTTATGATCTTCAATGATTAGGGAAAAAAATGTACTTGCAAATGAAGGGAGGAGTAGTCCTGGTTTCAAAAGTTCCACTTTTTCAAATTGCTTTTGAAATAAGGTAAATATCAGCCAAATTCACCATTCTACATTTTCCTCACACACATCATATATCCTTTGAATAATTTTTGGATCTTCGTCTGGTTTAGCTTAGCCGGACCTTAAACGATCACTGCGAATTACCTCTTCAGTAGATACATTTAAATAGCACCACAAAAACAATTGAGATGTTTACAATTATAAAACACGTTGTAATAATCGCACAATTATAGGAGAGGTCTGTCTTTAAAATGAGAAAACGGTATAGGGAGAACTAAACAAACAATAACTCAAATCAGTTTTCTTTAAATATGAAGGATTATAGGTATGAATTTTTAGGTAAAAACCAAACGATAAATGTAGTCAAAGATATCCAATTATTACATAATGTAGATACTCACAAGGTTGACTTATGTATAGAAATGTGGTCACTACCACCCAGACTTCTAAAGTCAAGCAACTTAAGTCGTTCTGGCTGTGTGGCTGATGTAACATACCGTTAAACAGTCATGTATCATCCTCTTTGTCTAAAGACTTTCATTTGCTATGCATGAAAAAGAACCCTTCAACAAGTTCTTGATCCCTTCAATTATTAGGCCTACTGAAGAGTTTATACTCTACTCAGAATGCCCCTTTTTAATCGATTTTAATTTTTTAATCAAGTTGCTATCTCCCGGAAAATACATTGAACTATTTGAATCCGAGCGTTGATTAAACAACAAAGTTTCTTATAGTTCTATGGTAGACGGAAATCATCCCTTATTCGTCAGCCATCAGATCTTGATGTCATCCGAATAAAAATTACTTCTGTTCTTTGATTTAATTTCGATACAGTTGAAATCAAAGTCCAAGCTGAAAATTTCATTTCCATAAACATACAATGGATAATAGCAGAGTTCTTACACGTTTGACAAATTAACGTTGCATATATACATTTATAGGGATTATCTATAAACATTCTTTGATAAACAAGTCTATAATCATAGATTTTCTGCAGAAAATTTTCCTTAAATTGTCGTATACATGATCACACGAAGAGGATTTTCCAATTCTTTTTACTTCATTTGCAGCTATACAGATGGTGTAGTCTACAATTAACCAGAGCTAGAGATTTCATGTATCATATCAAGATTGTGTACCCACTAATTTAAGATACCACTGACACAACTATATCTTCATCTCAATTTGTTTATTCTCTACCTTCAAATTGTATAAATTATAATAGATACAATTGACGGATCTGTAGATATCACTAATTGATGAATGAACGCGATATGACTTCTACGTCATCATATTTATTTCTTAATATCTCTTAACAAAAAGTAGATTTCCTTTTCTGATTGATAATGTTTATTCGCCTCTTTCATACAGCGTTGACATTTCACATTTATTAAATAAAAGTTCAATATAGAAAACCAACTATTTGGTTTATACGACAACAATGAACAAAAAAAACCAAATATTACAGACAGTAGCAAACGACAACCACTGTACAATAGGTTCCTAGCTTGGGACAGGCACATAAAGAATATGGCAGGGTTTAATAATTTTTGTGAGAGTTCAACCTGGGACAGTGGTGTAACAGCAAAACACTGGAACAAACTGTAAAAATCAGAGGGTTTGACACACAAGTTCGGTATTTCGTGAAATAAAAAAATAAACAAAAAAATGAAAGATACTTAGTACAAATCTGAGAGTACTCGGAGTTACTGAAAGCTAGCTCAACGCCCAATATCAATTAATAAATAAATCGGTTCTCCGAGAATAAATGTCAATCCGTAATGAGAAAGCATAACCAAGTGTCTTACCAAAATATAAGTATCGACAGGATGTGGGATTATAAGTATAACATAAAATACTTGGATAACAATACAGGTTTACCCAATTCACACGTTTTTTACGTTTTTTTTTAGAATCGGGACTATTCAGAGTTTGACAAATAGTGTAGACACCTATCTTTTATTGAAGACAGTTTGTTGAACTCTAGGTTTTTTATTTTTTATTTGTCTTCAGGTTGCTGTCTCATTGACGCATATCCCACACAATTTCTCATACTTAATCAATCTAATATTTGACCAACACATTCAAATATTCATTGGTTACAGATACATGTATGTAAAATATTTCATGGAGCAAATAAACATCTTAGTAAAAAAATGGTTTCCGGCAGACGAACAGATCTGAATTTCACACGAGAATACTGTATACAGGATACCAATACGTGTAATTATATAATAGGTCTAGCTTATCCAATAAATCAACATTTTCTTCGTTGCTACGGTTTTAGAACAAAATGAATTAAAATGATTTCCAGTAGACTCTGTGCTTCTTAGTGGTCCCTACCTTCAAATACAGAAACACATCGATATAGGTTGAATTATTTAATATACATACCATAAGGGTGTATAGGAGTATATGCTTGACACCAAATAACCAATTGTTCTCATGAGAACTCCCAAAACCTGGTATTATATTTGGACTGATTTTTTATGCCCCACCTACGATAGTAGAGGGGCATTATGTTTTTCGGTCTTTGCGTCCGTTCGTTCGTCCGTCTGTTCCGCTTCAGGTTAAAGTTTTTGGTCAAGGTAGTTTTTGATGAAGTTGAAGTTCAATCAACTTGAAACTTAGTACATATGTTCCCTATGATATGATCTTTCTAATTTTAATGCCAAATTAGAGTTTTGACCCCAAGTTCACGGTCCACTGAACATAGAAATGATAGTGCGAGTGGGGAATCCGTGTACTATGGACACATTCTTGTTACTCCTTGAATTAAGTAAATTGGTTAGTATTTTTTCTTGCTACAATTATTGTTGCAACTCGTGAACCAACACATTTACATTTATTCCTCAGTTTTATTTTTCAACTTTCAGGATGATTATGAGCTGCCAGATACAATCGAAAACTTTGACGACAGGGATCTACTACAGAAACCACAGAAACATATTATCCTAAAAAAAACCAGTTTTAATCATGTCGGGAACGAGGTAGAGGAAACGCCACGTTCTATTCCAGACAGTACGTCCTTCAATGCTGTCCGCAGTTACGGAATGGTATTCAGTCGTTTGTCACTTCGAGTAAGTTAGTTCTGTAAAAGAACCTGTCTGATAGGTACCTGCCCTAGAGAAATCTTTCAAATGATTTATACTCCTGACAGAATATCGTTCTATTAACTTCATCATACCCCTTTTAAAGCCATGTTCCGCCTTGAAACTGTGCCAAACAACAAAATGCAAGATGATGACACCCCAAGAACATACATTTCACTGAAAGCTAATTTATAGATGTATATATTGTCACTAAAAAAATGAATTCTTGTTAAACTTTGATGTATTCATAAAACTAACATATTACACAACGCTGACTTGGAGAAAACTTAAAATGTTTCTCTCAATCTGAAATACAAAAAAAAAAGAAGAAAGAATTAAAATTATTTTTTTTACATCTTAACGGCCAGTAAACATTGTTTATATGTATTCATTTGCTAAACATTTGATTAGAAAAGCATTTCTAGTTCACGATTGGGCTATTTGAAATCATTTTGATGATTGAAGCGTTCCACTGAATATCTTACTGACTTATTGATCCATATGACGCCTTACCATTCCTAAACAATCCCGTTACATAAAGCAGACAGTACTAATTGGTTCTAATTCTCTACTTGTAGCATTAATTGTTAATACCCTTATGTATCCAGTTTAACACTCTAAACACGATAACAGTCGTAATCAGAAGGTCTCCATATGTCATACATGCAAGTTAAGTCGATAATATAATCAATCCGTACAGTTACAGAAACCAAGTGGTCAGAATCATGACACAAGACATTTATATATGGGGAGGAGCATACCACGCAAAACATATCACTATATTTACCATTAATCCTTTATTAAGACATAAATGCATGTTACTGAGTTAAGTAAAAGGAAACATCTTAATATACTGCAATTTCTTTTTTTCTTTTTTTTTTTTTTTACATTAGATACAACTAAAAGTGAGAAAAACATGAACATGTTTGTTTTCAAGATTTTTAAATCACCTATCAACCTGTTCGTTTCCTGGAAAGTCAAAAATATTTGAAGTAACCTGCAGGGTTCATATAATTGTGATACGTGGAAAAAATAACGCAGAAATTTTATGGTTTCATTTGATTTAGATTCAACTAAAATATTCCAAATTGTTTATATTTCTCCACTTCAAACAATTTAATTTTACAATTTGAAACGCGAGGCTTGCTGAGCGCTTTGTTTATCTCGAAATTGAATCTGTTTCTCTTGTGATTTGTAGCTGATATGTAGGCAATCTTTATCCTTCTTATTCAATGGTCTACCAAAAGATGTGTTCTTTCTGTGTGACGTCGTCAGGCATGGTCATCTTTTTCACAACACCAGAACAGCAAATTCAAAGGAAAGCAAAAACATTTGACGCAATAACTGAATTTTAAGAAATGAAGAACTGAAATCAAACGAACCATGCCTGATTTTTGAAAATCTCTTTTGGCTTATGAGATATTTTAATTAGCCGATGTATACTTTACCAGCCAGGTTTTATGGCCAACGTGTGGTTCGTTTGATCTCAGTTCTTCCTTTGTCAAAATTCAGTAATGGCGTCAGTTTTTTTGGTTTCCTTTAAAATATCTGTTGTGATGTCGTGAAAAAGACGACCATGCCTGATGGTTTTGAGATAAGCAAAACGCTCGGCAAGCCTCGCGTTTTAAAATGTAAAATCAAATAGTTTGAAGAGGAGAAATATATATTATTTGATGCAGTGGTCGTATCTACATGTACAGAATCATAGAGTACAGTCAACTGGTCTTATATCTTTATCTCAGCTATCTACAAATGTGGAAGTTTAAAGACAAAAGGAACTTCTACTTGGTTTAAAAAAAGAATCTTTATTACTCATTTCTCAATCTAATTTTTTTAACATAACTACTAAACTCAAAGCCAAAAAAAGAAAACACTTTTAAGACGGGATACCGAGCGGATTCGTGTTGCTCAGTATTTATTTTTTTGTATACAAGGTTATTTTTGGATCGTCGCCTTTCGTTTTTCCATACCGTTGTCAGCTTCGCTTCGATGTGTCCGTTTTGAATCTTCCGTGTCTTTTCTTTAAATGATAAGTATGGAGATGAAGTTACACTCTAAAACAGTTTTAGACATGAATTATTAGGTAAAATAGTGATTTGTTCCAGATGTAAAAGGTACATAATGAGTACGTCTGAAGCAACTGTTTAATTGAATTAATGACCCCGTAACACATAGTTGTCCATGTAAGTAAGAGCCGATAGAATGTTCAATAATTTTGAAGTACATTTTTCTGAAAAATAGATCACTACGCTATAATTTTTTCATTGAGACAAATTACAAAAAGAAGAAAATAACACTTTATTATTAAAAATTTGAAAACAACACAAAATAATTTCATGCGTCCGAAGCGCTTTTCTGGATTTACCTTCATCAGGAACGCTCAAAGCCAAACATTTGAAATCCGAATGATGTATAAGTACCGAAACGGTTGCATGAAGAGCGATATGACAAAAATACCTAAAACAAATAGCCAAATCCATCTAAGGTCAACTTTGCCTGAGGGAGTTGAAACCTTAGTTTCTTTATAATTTCAAAATTTATAAACGGACAATTTTAGAAAAGTTAAACTGCATGCGCCCGACACACCTTTTTTCTGGATTTACATTCATAAGGAACACTCAAAGCCAAATATTTGAAAACCAAGGATGTATAATTGACTTAACACGTGAAGAACTATCTGACCTAAAGGGGCCTAAAAATAATAGACTTATCTATCTTAGGTCGTGTTTACCTGAGGGAGTTGGAACCTTAGTTTTTTTAATCATTTATAAATTTGTTAACGGACAATTTAAGAAACGTATGATTATAAATCATGTTAGTACCGAAACACTGACTACTGAACTGATGATAACTGGTAGTGGGAAAACGGTACTATTACATTTTCCCAGCATTAGGTTGGTCTTTTGTGTACCCAAGGCAAGGTGAAGGAAGTCAAGTTAGGAGCGCTGTGATTGGATGTAAGGGTACAATATATTTTTTTATTTATCCATGAATAACTGCAGTGTGTATATTTAAAATATAAATTTTGAAACCTATTGAAATATTTTCTAGAGAATTATTCGAATAGACTTCCAAAATTTCATAAATTTGGTGTAAAATGACGGTGGGCATGGATAACATAAACAAGCTCCGTTGGAAGTAGGTCATGATACTATTTGGCTTCAATTTTTAAAACAGAATAAAAAAGTACTAACACCACACATAACTGTTTTATATAGGTTTTTATTATAAAAAGTGGTAAATTTAGAAAATTTTAGTATTGTCACCTATGGCAGAATAAATAGTACCGTTTTCCCTAGTGGTATCGACCCGTCTCTAAAATAAAATAACACTTTATAAATTGTATGCGTCCGAGGCGCTTTTCCGGATTTACTTTTATCATGAACGCTGTAAGCCAAACATTTGAAAAATCAAGGATATATAAGTACCGAAACACGCGAAGATCTACATGACTAAAGTATATTTGAGCTATATCTGCAAATGGTGATTTACCGTGAAACTGTTAATACCGAGTGACTGGATGAAAAACTGACAATTTCCGGATTGTGACTAAAATATAAGTAAAATAAATACCTGCTTTATACCAACCCAGTACTTGTTTTGGACGGAAGCATTTTAATACATATATTTGGATCAAAATATTTTCATTAACTTTTTAAAACAATTCTGATGAAATATGATACGACAACGTTTTTGGAGTTGTCCTTGTATAATAATACATAATAAATCATTTATGTTTTTTTAGCCAATTATCAGAATTGAAGTAAAGGCTGAAGATCCCTATGACCAGGAAGAATTATTATTCGCAACAAAAATTCCATTAAGACCAAATTTAGACATAATCAACGCCATATTTTCAGCTGCTTTACAACAATACCTTAAATTTCCATCACAGAGTAATCCATACAATGTTGTCCTTGACTACGATGTAAATAGAAACTGTGATATAATTATCAGTGCCTTAGACATTCCAAATATTGGTACCCACACATGGAAGGTGAAAATAAAAAGAAGGAGAGGAAAGGTAACTATTGCAGTAAACCTATTAGTTATATATGATAGTGTCTCTACGTTTTGTAAATGCCTTGTAGTATACATTTGAAAATGTACTCCAATATCCATTTTTCTTCCCTGAAAGTTCTGCATAACGACAATTCGTACCACAAGTAACTACATCATAAGACGACTATAGAGTGTAACGGCATAATTTATATCACTCGATATTTTGTTTAACTTCAAAATCATATAATAATTGTGCGTATCCCTGTGGAATGTCTAAGTTTTGTTTCAATAATAGTACACAACTTCAGTTTTTGTGTGTTTTATCTAGGGCAATAAGTCTTCAACCTCTGAAAAGTATTAGTCTGCCCTTCGACGAAATATTTAATTAGAATTTTTAAAAATATTTTTGAACTTTCGAAAATCCCCCCTGACAACCAATCAGACAATAGTTTTAAGTTGACCTATGCATAAAAGTACGCTAAAAGATCCCCATGTTATTACATCAACCTACAACCTAAATATATAAAAATAATAGAATCTGAAGTAAGATGATGTATCCAATATTTTTCTTTTATACGTTTTCAAGACAGAATAGTCAACTCAAACACGCCTGAACATAAAAAGGTATACTTGACTTTCTCTTTTCGATGAAATTATTGGCTATTTTTGGTATTTTTGCCACAAAAACTGTCTCTGGGGGCAGAGATGCAAATTAATGCTTTAATCTATGATCTTTTTTTGGGTATTTTTTTCTGCGGAATTTATGCTTATACACAAAAAAGATCCACATATATTTGCACCTACCACAATCACTGTTTTGTGAAAATTTGTCTATAATTTAAAAGTTTAGTTTAAATATTAACACATCATCTGACTCGCCCGATCGCGTGTTTTATGATTGATTAAATACAGTTTGTTAAATTTCATGTATATTATGGACGAAAAGAAGGGAAAAGTTATTGAATTACCTCTAAAAATGAAATCACCATAGTTGATCCTACTCGTCATCTACCATTCTGACATTGTAACAATTTGGTCATGTTCTAAGCCTTGACTCGTGCTACTGGATGTGATTTCCGGTACGTGTGACAGGTTATACATGTTCTAAGCCTTGACTGGTGCTATTGGATGTGATTTCCGGTACGTGTGACGGGGAATATATGTTCTAAGCCTTGACTCGTGCTACTTGATGTGATTTCCGGTACTTGTGAAAGGTTATACATGTTCTAATCCTTGACTGGTGCTATTGGATGTGATTTCTGGTAAGTGTGACGGGTAATACATGCTCTAAGCCTTGACTCGTGCTTCTGGATGTGATTTCCGGTACGTGTGACGGGTTATACATGTTCTAATGATAATAATATTTATTCATGTAAATGCAATATATACAAATACATAATACAACCTTAAAATATAGCAATGGTTGTGACATAGGTACCTCTAATGCCTTAACCCAAGGATGACACATGAACGCAAACAAGCTTATTTCCAATGGGGTCCTTATAGTCTTGATAATAAAATAAATAATTTATCATTCAATTTTACAGCAATAAATAGTATCCATGAATGACAGCTTAAAACATTAGTATAAAAAGCAATCTAATAAAATATGAAATCTGCATCTGACATTGACCTGAGTTTACTCATTAGGTGTTTTTTTTTTACTTCATACTTAAAATTTTATTTTTGAATTCACATGAATGCCTTTTACATAATCTGGCAAAGCATTCCATGTTTTAATACCACTAAAACAGAAAGAAGAAGATTCTACACCTTTGACATTTGGAACATAAAAATTGTAAGCAGTTGTTCTAGTATTCCTATTCCAGGAAGTTCTTGAAAAACCATTTTTTAAGTATTCTGGAAATTTGTTGTGAAAAACATTAAATACATGATTCAGACGAAGTTGTTTCACTCTGTTACAATCATTCAATAATCCCAATTTTTCAAATTCATTTTAAGTGATTCGTCTTCTCTGAGGATGATATAGTATAAACCATATAACTTTATTCTGAATAACCTGAAGCTTGTCTTTAAGTCTTTTGGATAAGCCTTCATACCAACAAGCACATGCATAATCAAGATGGCATTGTATTAATGCAGTACACAATGTTTTTTTCTAGATTGTTGAGACAAAAATTCTTTATAACTATATAAAAATGTAAATCGCTGATTAGCCTTTTTTTATAATATTATCGACAACTTGTTCACCAGATAAAAATTTGTCCAAAATGATACCTAAATATTTCACATTTGATTTACTCTCAATTTCAATATCACATTCAATAGAAAAATTATTTTCATTAACATTTTGAAGTTTTCTTTTTGTTCCAAATAAAATGCTTTCAGTCTTTCCTAGATCAAGAGACAATTTATTATCAACAAACCAATCTTTTAAATTACATGATTTTAACATAAGTGATAGCTTTCTAGAAATTATTTTTGGATCTGAATGTAAAAAAATAATAGTTGTATCATCAGCATATAATAAAACAATACAATCAGGATCAATGCTAACTTGTAAATCATTCACATATATTAAAAACAAAAGCGGCCCCAGTATACTACCTTGGGGTACACCGCAAGTTACATCAAACACTTCAGAGTTTGTTTTGTTAATATTAACAATCTGTTTCCTGTTTGTCAAATATGAATAGAACCATTCTACAGATCTAACTCCTATCACATTAAGCTTATCACATAATACTTTGTGATCAAACAAACCAAATGCCTTCTGTAGATCGAGTAAAACCATGCCAGTAAAAAGACATTTGGCAGTTTTTGATTTTATATGATCTGTTAAATGTATGAGACAGCTATCGACGTCCGTATATCACCTTCATATTTCGTGCCAATATTTTGTTAATAAAGACACATTTCATAGTTATAGTTTCTACAACATTTCCTTCTTAATGTGCATCAGTTTTCTTTTTGTTTAAAAGAGGCCGAAACGTCTGTTAATTTCCTTTGCGCAGTAGGGCATTTTTTGTTACAGGCTTATGATATATTGTAACAATAAAAGCCTTGACTCGTGTTATTGGGTGTGATTTCCGGTTCGTATGACGGGTTATACATGTTCTAAGCCTTGACTCGTGCTACTGGATGTGATTTCCGGTACGTGTGAATGGTGGGTTATACATGCATTAACTTATTTAAAAAAGAGTAACCGGACAAATGTTACCAGTGAAGTAGATTCTGCTCATTCTTCATGAGCAGCTTCATTCTTCATGAGCAGCTGCGATTATCCCGGTTTTGTGTGGTTCGTGTTGCCCAATCTTTAGTTTTCTATGTAGCGTTTTGTAGAATTTGTTTTTTAACCCATTTTTTGTCGTACTATTGTCTGTTCTTCTTTGACGTATGAGTTTTGATTGGTGTCTTCTTCCCTATTTTTGTTTGTGTAGATTAAAGTGGATGTCTATTAGTTTCGTCCTTTATTTTTTTGTCTTTTGATACCTGGACGTATGATGCCCTGACGTCCGTATATCACCTTTATATTTCGTGCCAATTTTTTGTTATTAAAGATACATTTCATATTTATAGTTTCTAAAACAGTTTTCCTTCTCAAAGTGCACCAGTGTTCTTATCATTGTTTAAAAGAGGTCAACACGTCTGTTAATTTCCTTTGCGCAATAGTGCATTTTTTGTTACAGGCTTATGATATATTCATTGAATACAGCAATAGTTTCGGATTTCACAAATGTCTTCCTTATTAAAATAGTTTTTTTTTGTAATCTTCATATAATTTTCTAGGTCAAACATTAAGTTAAATGACTGTAATTCGAGACAATATTAATAAAATACTGTACATTTGGTAGGCGTTTGGGGATATACAGGCACTCTTAATATATATATTAAAATATTCGTATATTTCCTTTTAATTTGATATTTTGCAAGTCTTTCAGTAGGAATAAAGTGTTTAATTATAGCAGGGAAACATTTTTTTTCTCATAATCGTGTGATCATATTCTTCATATAATTTTATAGGAAACGTATGTGTGGAAAGAGGTCTCTAAATGGGTGTCTGATTGCGATTAATGCTCTTATCAAGTAAAGGACTTCAAATAGGGCCGTAGGTGATCCATTGTGAAATTACATTTATATGTCCCTTGTTTTCCGACTGTCAATCACTTTACATAAGCACTTGTTATAGCAGGAACTTCCTAACTTTCAGGAGCACCTACGTGTATTCCCGTTTCTATTTTAGTGGGGTTCGTGTGGCTTTATATTTTGGTTTATATCAAGTAGTTTATTAATAATGTTTATAGGACTGTTATTTGTCTGTTCCCCTTAATTTCTTTTTGATCATGGCATTGTTCGGCATACTAATATAACAAAACTAGAATGAAAGATTGGAATATTATTTTGCATAGAGCTTTTAATGGAATTAATAATACATCTTAATTTGAAAAAATATAGTTACTGATTAGCTTTCAAGGCGTGTTTATAATTTTGTCGCTGAAAATTGATTTGGACTGACCTGACTTTACATTTTAGGTGGTAAATTACCTTGTCATTTCTCTCTAGACTTATAAGATAAAAAAAATAAGTCTCTTCCGGTGCAAAAATTGTTCTATCATTACTTCCTCATTAGATGGCAGTTTCTGATAAAAAAATAAATGGATAAAATGCAAAAAGGTACACGTATATTGATTTGAAAAAGAAGATCTAAATAAAGCATATAAAATTGATGATGTTGAATTTGCGAACATTTCAATACAATTAATATTAGTCTGTTTTTCTTGCATCTTTTTTTTTGGAGCGACTTTCCTTCTCTGGCAAGAAAAATACAATACTGAAAAATTAGCTGAAACTTGAATATCACAAAAAACAATAATTATACAAATACAAAATATACGTTACTCGCATCATGTTTGAAAATACTGTAACAGCTGTAATAATGGCCATTTCCTCGAATATATTACTGTGAGCGTAATACTGTTTTTTTGTTACTTTCAAAGGATAATCTCATGACCCTTGAACAATATCAGTCCATTAATTCTAAGCTGACAAATCTATAAAACTGACTCCGTCCACTTAAAAAATAGCAATTATCTCAGGCAAAACTGACCTCAGATGTTTTAAGTTTTAAGTTTTGAAAGGCCATATAGACAAAACAATACCCGTAAAAAAATATGAAAATTCAGTACTGCATTAGGTGCAAATACAGCCATGATTTAGATACCTGTATTGTCATTCTAGTCATTCTGAAAAGAAAACAAAGGTTTTAAACAATTTATACCATGTACTGACATTTTGTTATGACTGACAAGTTCAAATCTAGAAGGGTTTAGTACGTAACCTTCCTTATATTCAAAACGATGAACCTATTGATGCTAGATCACTGGTGACCTGCGACTCTTTTCACAAAAAATCTTACGATTAAAATTGATCGTAAGTTATACTGAAATGTGTATGACTTACGAGTATTTTTACTCTTAAGATTTTTTGTGAAAAGAGCCGCTGTATTGTGAAAAAAAATCAACAAGATATATCAGTGAGTATATGAGTCAAAATGCACCTAGAAAACGATACATATTTCGTGCTTAATAGACGTGTTCACCGCAGGCGAGAATGGACGAAGTGACAGAATAATCAGTAATAATGGCGTCCAGAAGCAGCAGAAACCCCATAATAGTAAATGATATTAAATGCATTTTAGGTACATGTACGATACGTTAAATAATAATTCCTTTTCTTTCTGCCTGAAAAATTCCCCAAGAAATATGTGTAATTTGTACACAAACTTGCAAACTAGCATCATATCTGGGCATGTATTTGTCAGTTTGAAAGTTTGTATAGATTTGAGCTGTATATGAAATACAAAACAGAATTGTATTTTTGAGTTTGTGAAACGGTGTTAAATTGAGGGAAAGTCACTATTTTTGACGTTCTGATTGGTTTAGACTGTTATATTTGTAGGAGGTATTATTTCGTCAAGATTTAGGTCAGCCAAAATTAAAATTATTACTAGTATTTAAAATATAATTGTGTGAATATCACAAGTTGGTAATTTCTTATGGACGATCACTGTACTATTGGTGGCCTTCGGCTGTTGTCTGCTCTATGGTCGGGTTGTTGTCTCTTTGACATATTCCCCATTTCCATTCTCAATTTTATTGTAACTTCTAACAACTTCTGATCACTTCTGACTATGTCTTCATTGTATATCACTAACAAATGTTATCTTTTAATTTACAGGTGATCTACGATAATGAATGCCTGACAACAACCAGAAGGTTACGGATGAGACACGGAACAACTATTTCTATTTATTACTCATAATTCTATCATTGTCTATACACATGTACGTAAATAGTTTTTACAATATAATAAACCCATTTGATGTTTATATAATGGGCAAATTGATTCCCGAAAAGCAAGACACATAATCAATACATCTTTCTTTCACAAGGCAAATTCGACATCAAAGAGGTTAATTCAACAGTATGAAATGAAGTAAACATCATAACAAAAACAATCGGAACAGAACAAAGGCAAACTTCAAGGTCAAAGTAATTTAGGACATTTAAGATGAAGAACAACTACATTGTTTATAAACTGAAAATTTTGAATGTAATTTTAATCATTCATTCGGGTACCACTTATTAAGCAGGATCTGCTTACCCTTCCGGAGCACATGCGATCTCTCAACATCTTGTGATTGGGTTCGTGTTGGTCTTTAGTTTTCTTTGTTGTGTTTTGTGAATTTGTTTGTCTTTTTGTCGTCTTTCATGTTTTGCCATGGTGTTGTCAGTTCATTTCGACTTCTGAGTTTTGAATGTGTCCCTGGTATCTTTCACCTCTTTTCAAAGGTAAATGTTAATTTCGATGACTTTAGAGAATAAATCAAATGTAGATTCAGTACTGTTAGTTATATACACATAAAGTAAGATATCGTGTTCATTACATGTTACGCCTGTGTCAGGATTTCACACGGTATAGCTTCAGAACAACACTGTCAGCTACCAGGAACTAATCACACAACTTAAAGCAGTCCACAATAAATTCTGCACTCGAGAGATATAAGTACTGTTTTATTACAATTGCGTTATTTAAGAACTAAAAATTTAATTGCAATGAGTCATTTAAAATAATGGTTGTAACAAAACTCTTGCTGCAAGACAGATGATACTATTCTCAGAAGTTGACCGTCCGACAGCACTTGTACCAATTAAAATGAAGCAAAAAGAATGAACAACACATATGGTTTTGTTTTTGTCTGTTTATGTGAGTTTTATTCGAGCGTCATCAAATAAGCAGAATGAATGTTCTAGGGTTTATTTGGTTCTATAAGTAAACAACAACAACAAAATAAGGCGGATACCAGTTTTAAATTATTGAAATTTTTGAAAGAAACGAAAATATGAATATTAACTAAGGTTTTATTGTCCAATTTCAAAGAAGTCATAAGCCATATATGTATACAAGATTATAACAATAAACATTATATTTCCGAAACATTTTGACTGAAATCACAAATGTCAAAAATCAATTTCACACGCGAGTAGAACATTATTTCTCTGCATTTTTTTATCATATATTATTAAACGTTCACGCTTTCGTGTAATTTTTCATTTTACTAAAGTTTTTGTTTTCAATTCTTGGCTGTATAACGTTCGAGGGGGGAATAATTTTAACACAAATATCAATCTTTCAATAAAGTACGTGCATATATAGATATAACATGTAAATTAAGCAAGTTTAATAAAGTAAATCTTATTACATGACAATCAGAGCATTCTCCTTTAATTTTACGACGATACTATTGATTGATTGATTGCTTGGTGTTTAACGCCACTTTCAGTACTGTTGGTTATTTCGTGGCGGTCAGTTTTTATTGGTGAAGGAATCCGGAGTGCCCGGGGACAGACACCGACCTTCGACAGGAAAACTGACAATCCTTGTCAATTAAGGTTGGAGTCGAACGCACCTGCCACGTGCGTGATTCGAACCCTCAGCATCGGTGTTGACAGGCTAGTGATACAGTAATTAACATACTCATATACTTAGACAACTTGGTCCCCAAATGTTTCTATCGATGGTCATATAATTGTAAAATATCAAACAATTACTAATAGCAATAATTGTGATGTATTATTTATGTCAGAGTAATTATTATGTTTTTTTCTAATATTTCTTACGAAAATCTGGTACAAGTAAAATAGCGAGAAACTTCCTAATTGTAGTATTGCGAACAATAAAAAAATTCCTTGTGTTCGTTTAAATGAACAAATCATCATTTGCTTTTCAATCTGATAGTACTGATGATTATGTATTTCTATAGAACGGTTCTTGGCTCGTTCTGTGTTTTTGATTGTCGCTTCTTTATGTCGTTTTGATTCTGTAAAAGTCCAATATTAAATACACATGCACAAAAAGAGAGAACTGCAGCCATGGCAAAACTCCAAGTAAAACAATGGACGCCTGCTTTACAATCGGTCGCACCTTTTATTCGAATGCTGTTGTCATATGTCCATCCATAAATCTGTTGCACAACAAACCCTCCTATTGCATTTCCGAAAATTGTTGCTCCCCAATTTCTACCGAAATATTTGAGTCCATAAAATTCACTGATCATTGTTGGAGTTAAGCACCAAACAGCACCATTTGCCAGGCCAATAACTAATAAAGCCATTACTAACATGGGGAATTTGTCTGAGAAGAATATGCACAATGTTAAAGTGATAGTTTGGACGATGTTAAAAATAAGTAACAGGGCTACCCGTGGTACCTTTGGCATCATTAAATCAGAAACAAATCCAACCATAAATTTTGATAAGACACCGCAAACCGGATTAATCGTGCCAAAAGTAGTAGTAAATTCTTCGAGATCAAATGTTTTAAGATAGGTTTGTATGTTGTTCTGAAACATTAATTGTAGACCTGCACAGAAAATATATGACCATGCGATAAAATGGTAATCAAACCTAAGAAACAGTTTTAATCCTGTAATATTTTTGATTGGTGGACCGGTGTCAATTTCAAATGTTCCCGCAATTGTAGATTCGTTTACTTTTAAAGAGATTTCATCAATCTTTCTCTCTCCTTCATATGGATAGTTATTAAGGAAAAAAACTCCCATTGATCCAATAACAGCAAACGAAATTGCTGTCGTGAGATAAAAACCGCCAAGATTTTGATTTTCCTCATCGTGAACATGTCCAGCGGCAAATATTTTCCCGTACAGGAGCGCCATAATTGCTGGACCGGCACTAAATGAAGCATCTAGAATACCAACTATTTTCCCTCTGTGCTCTGGATTGAAGTTAATGGAATTAGTTGTCATGGCTGCCATGTACAAGAAAATAGCACCAAAACCTATAAATGAAGTATGAATATTGATCTACTTTTTAATCGTAAAAGTATCATGAAACCATCATAATAAACATCGATCACACGTATGAGAAATGGAACAAAAAAAAATAAAAAAAACGAAAAAATATATTTATTAAATAAATGATGGTATTAAAGGTATGCATCATATTATAGTTGTTTATAAATGACTTTTAAAGCAGATATGGCCATGTTTTGGAAAGTAACCGATAAAAGCAGAAATGAAGAATTCCTTGTTTTGATATGGATAACAAAATAAATAATTCTGATCAAACATCAAAATTATACTAGGTGCACAATTATATGCCCTAAAGAAGAATCTGTGAATTCTATCAATCAGTTTTCAAGAAGTTGAGGATTAATATAAAGTGTGATGTTGACGATGCAAACGACGACGATGATGAAAAGCGACATAAGTGATCCATAGCTATATCACACTACGGCGTCGATATCAGGTGACACCTTGTATTTTTAAAACTGCCAGTTTTTGTAAGAATCAGGCAATTTAGAAGAATTTCAAAGCATGGTCGAAAAAAAACCCACCGACCTAACCATCCTATTTTCAGTTATCCTAATTCTGAATTACAAATGGAAGGTCTTTCGTTTCTGCGTGTCTGGTAAATCCAGAAATCTATAGATAACTTTTGGTTAGAATGATAGCAAATTAAGAAGTTAGCTCCCCTTAATTGATAATTTCTAGTGCATTTCAACCAAATAGGGATATTGAAATACCAGAACAGGAAAAGAAAACGAGTATTATATTCGTGCACCATTATACATTTTGAATTTAATTAATGTAAACTTGAGCGGGTTTTTGTTTGTCATGTTTTCACAAATGCCTGATTTTTAGGCAGATTGGCACTTAAACAAAAAAAAAAAACACAACGTTAAGCAGGATAAATCTGAAAATGTTAGTCGACTAATATAATGCCTGAAATACCTACATGAATCTTAAAGTTAATATATCAAAAATAGCATGTTTTTAACATTTTATCTTCATAGAAATTCCATTTTTAGTAACAGCCTTTTATAAGGCAAATCCGTGAATCTTTTGGATTTTTTTTTCTTAATTTGTTACATGACTAGATCTTCCTTGCAACAGAATATGAAGATGATCGTGTAACCTTGGTTTTGGATGACTTTGCATGGATTTGTCTGAGACAGGCACTTAATAAAAAAAAATCAAGTTAAATTCTAGTAAGAAAAAACTGTAATTGAATGTTCTAATGTAACTTATGATATCTTAAAACGATATACATATACCTGCAATAAAAAAGTAAACCGCTTGAAGAGCGGACGTTGTTGAATAGAAATGACTCATTAAAGTGGTGCTCCATAACAACATATAGCCCAATGATGATATCACTAGACCTGCTAGGGATGCCCAACGTCCTCCAAATCGTTCACACATCATTCCAGCTGGGAATCCTAACGATATCCCAAAGTTCGACGTAGAACCAAACAGCTCAACTGAAAATAAAAATATGTAATGTGAATTGTCTTTCTTTGCTTAATAAATTTTCCTTGCCGATTAGAATATCAAAATAAAGAACTTTGCAGAAAAAGAAGGTAGGTCAAAATTAGAACGTATATACAAATAGGATTGTGATTATTTGTAAAAAATAACAGGGGAAAGAGGAAAGAAATCAAAGGAACAATAAAGAATAATACAATGACATTTACAAACTTACGTTATTCCGTACCACAAGTCCCATTGTTTATATATAGGTATTGTAGCATGGTCAACTGTTATACTGTTATAAATTTTCAAGAATCCGCATTGAAAAAGTCGAAAGTTTAGTTTAAAAAATCAATGCCCAATAGTGCCTTTACATGTAGATGCTTACATCAACGTCATTTTGTTTCGTGTAGATTGCTGTCTCATTTGCAATCATACCATATATTCGTATATTTATATCAAAGTAAGCAAAACCACTGAGTTTTTATAAAAGGTATCACAACCACATATATATAAACATTCTATGACTCACAGTAACATTGTAAAATCGATGTTGTCTTGATGGTCGACGAAAATATAAAAACCAGATGACTTCAACCTTTCATTTGTGAACTTTAAATATTTATGAAACAACTACACATGGCGTACATACATATACTATATTGGAGAGAAATATGCTGTTATCAGCCGATTTCCCTTGTGAACAAAACAGGAATAATAGGTTCATATTCCGTGTCAGTGCCCTATATCCCAATCACCTGACGACTCAGAAGATATAAAACACTTACAGGAAATATTATTGGTTATATAGTGTGCTAGTGACCAAATATGACATATATATATATGGGGTCAGTAAATTCCATATGGGTGAGAGCGAAGATTGAATCACCATATGGAATTTACTGACTCCATATATATCGTATTAGGTCACTAGCAAACTGTGGAACGCATTTATCTTACCGACTATCTTAACATGTGGTATTTAGAAAAGAGGGACGAAAGATACCAGAGGGACAGTCAAACTCATAGATCGAAAACAAACTGACAACGCCATGGCCAAAAAAAAAAAAAAAGACAAACAGACAAATAATAGTACAGATGACACAACATAGAAAACTAAAGACTAAGCAACACGAACCCCACCAAAAACTGGGGGTGATAGACTAGTGGCCTATCAAAGTGATTAAGTCTTCAATACTTAGTATTAAGAACCTTCTTCCGTTGGTCTATACAAAAACAAATGCCCGCAATAACAACTTGTTAGCTTAAAATATGTTTTATGAATTTATTTCAATCGTTCATCATCAATTTCTTTGTCTGTTGAAAGCTTTCAGATTTTCCCTCAACACCGTGTTGTTTTATAAAGAGACATAACACCACTACTAACCGTGTATTGAAATAAGCCCAGCCTACTAACCTAATATGAAATATACACGGTCTCCACGCAGTTGCTTTTAACCAATCATATTCCTAGAAATGTATAGGAGGTAACATAAAAGCGCATATTTCCTGTGAAAATCCTGAATAACACATAATGTCTTTTAATTTATCCATCACTGAACATCTTAGTGGGATATATCAATAGATGTTATCTTGCAATGGGACGCATGCATCAAGAGGAGGAGCTGTTTTCCCTCCTTGACGATGCACGCGGGTTCATCCCTGCATTTAGTTCGGTGAGCGGGGCTCAATAAAAAGTTGTGTTGTAGTGTTTTGTAGACTAATGCTTGTTTTTTCCGTCTTTTTTGTTTTGAACATAATGTTTTTTTATGCTTTTGATTCACATGTTGCGATCTTCTTACTTTACGACGAAAGCAATTGAAAGGGTTTTAAATAAGATGATGAATTAATGAGTGTCTTGTGCGTAAGATTTTTTAATTTACTTTTAAAAAAGATACGAAAAAAACTGTCTCAGAAAGAACAGTTTTGACAAGATTTTTTAGCGTAATATAACCATATCAAAATATTATTTGTTACCTGCCGACTGGGTGTAGTTGTAATGCTTCTTGACAGATACAATGTATACTCCGTAGCAATAGACAGAACCAGCAATAGCCATACAGAGACATCCTACTACCAAGGCAACAGCACGCTGTACGTTCGCAGAAATGTGTACCATTTTATATGATTTTATTATTATAATACACTATTAAATATACAAATAATTTCTGAATGATAATAGTATATATCTAGTTTCAATATAGGGTAGTTTATAGTGACACATTTTATCAGAATTTTATCTTTCGGTATGTAATGTGTAGATACACCACTGATAGCCTAGTACATTTTTTGCACTGTCACACGCTTTCAAAACTTTTATTTTATCGAGAAAAAAACTGAAAAACTATTGGTCACTTATCATAGAATTTTCATTCAATGTTGGATGTTATTAATTTTTCATGCAGAAGCTCTAATTTTTATTTTAGCTCAAACTGTAAAATGATAAAACATTAAAGCGTTTACCAATTTCCGAGTTGTTTAAATTTCTTGCATTCACGTACTTATAATCAAACACTGGAAAATGCATGTTTCTACGTAGATACTTTGAAACACGATTCAACAGAAAAAGACCATTCTCTATTTTATTTCCAACATAAAAAGTTTTTTCATTAATCATTATTTCGGGAATTTCTTTGAACGTTTTTCTCAGAATAACGGGCTTCTTGGCCTACTATTTTTGAAGGCAAAATGGTATTGACAGCAAAATATAAATACTGTAAACGTAAACATTTTCGTTCATTACTTTCGCGATAACGTGAAAAGCGCAAACATGTGTGAATAGTTTGTATACATTAACAATATTGATTATAAAGGCACATTTATCGTCCAAACAAAACGTTAATTAAACTCCAGCGCGAAAAGTCAATGCATTCGCGAAAATATCAACCCGCGAAAATACACATTAACAAAGACTTTGACATTGGAGCATATTAATGGCAAAACACCATGTAGAATTCCGCAATACACTTATAACTTTTCATTACCAAAGTCAGATGCCTGCAGTCACGGGGAAAATATTTTTATTTATAGTCAACGTAAGTTGAATCGCTCCCCATTTGTTCCTATGACATTTTTGCGTACCTTTTCGGTATGACTTTTGAATCACTTTTTTGCAGAGTGTCATTTCATAACACATATTTTAATGCATATGGCAATGTTTCTTTTTCCATTAGCCAATGTGTCGGGGTATTAACATATTGAAAATGAATCAAATAGAATTACACAGTAAACTTTCAGTGGAAAAGTAATGACATTTTTTCTTTAAATTTTCTTCAAATTGTTTTGTTCCGAGGTTTTGGTTGTTTTGTTTGTGTGCTTATAGTTATAGTTATATTTTTTATGCATTTTTCTTTCAAATAATTTGCCTCGATTAATTCTGATTAACTAACTACATCAATTCAACTCGTAAACGAACGTTTTGTGGCTTAAAACCTTAGATCTAACACATAACAGCCAAAACATAAAGAGCCAACACATAGCAGCCAAATCACAAAGGATCTACACATAACAGCAACATTATAAAGGATATAAAGGATCAACACATAACAGCCAAAGCATAAAGGGTCAACACATAGTAGCCGAACTATAAAGGATCTACACATATAACAGAAAAAACATAAAGGTTCAACACATAACAGCCAAAACATGAAGAATCTACACATAACAGCAACATTATAAAGGACCTAAAGGACCTAAAGGATCTACACATAACAGCAACATTATAAAGGACCTAAAGGACCTCGCGAAAATATCAACCCGCGAAAATACACATTAACAAAGACTTTGACATTGGAGCATATTAATGGCAAAACACCATGTAGAATTCCGCAATACACTTATAACTTTTCATTACCAAAGTCAGATGCCTGCAGTCACGGGGAAAATATTTTTATTTATAGTCAACGTAAGTTGAATCGCTCCCCATTTGTTCCTATGACATTTTTGCGTACCTTTTCGGTATGACTTTTGAATCACTTTTTTGCAGAGTGTCATTTCATAACACATATTTTAATGCATATAGCAATGTTTCTTTTTCCATTAGCCAATGTGTCGGGGTATTAACATATTGAAAATGAATCAAATAGAATTACACAGTAAACTTTCAGTGGAAAAGTAATGACATTTTTTCTTTAAATTTTCTTCAAATTGTTTTGTTCCGAGGTTTTGGTTGTTTTGTTTGTGTGCTTATAGTTATAGTTATATTTTTTATGCATTTTTCTTTCAAATAATTTGCCTCGATTAATTCTGATTAACTAACTACATCAATTCAACTCGTAAACGAACGTTTTGTGGCTTAAAACCTTAGATCTAACACATAACAGCCAAAACATAAAGAGCCAACACATAGCAGCCAAATCACAAAGGATCTACACATAACAGCAACATTATAAAGGATATAAAGGATCAACACATAACAGCCAAAGCATAATGGGGCAACACATAGTAGCCGAACTATAAAGGATCTACACATATAACAGAAAAAACATAAAGGTTCAACACATAACAGCCAAAACATGAAGAATCTACACATAACAGCCAAATTATAAAGGACCTAAAGGATCAACACATAACAGCCAAAGCATTAAATATCTACAAGTAACAGCCAAAACATAAAGGTTCAACACATAACAGCCAAAACATAAAGGATCTACACATAACAGCCAAATTATAAAGGACCTAAAGGATCAACACATAACAGCCAAAGCATTAAATATCTACACATAACAGCCAAAACATAAAGGTTCAACGCATAACAGCCAAAACATAAAGGATCTACAAATAACAGCCAAAACTATGTTCTTTTATTCAGTTTGTTTTTGCCGTTTGAATAAAATATGTTAATGAAAATATCTTTTTATAACGTGTTTGTGTTCGAATCGCTTTTCTGGATTTACTTTCATCGAAGCGCTTTTCTGGATTTACTTTTATCGAAGTATAGCCGGGTAAAATGGCGTTCCGGCTAAATGGAAATCAAGAAGGAATATTTCGCTCCTTAAACTTTTATTTTAGCAGTCCGGCAAGACCGAACAACAAACTCCAAACCAAATGTAAAGTAACATACAAACAATAACAATATATATAAGCACAAGCAATTAAAGGATTAAGAAGATTAACATATGCCAAATAGAAATAACAATAGACTAGAAGAGTAATTAATGTCCGACACGTATAAGTAAATTATTGTCTAAACTGTTACAGAGAATAAATAATTAAATGAATAGAGTAAATGAATTTAAGTCCTTTGTCCAAGATTATGACACATAATCCGTGTAAAACACTTATGCCTAAATTTACGACAAAGTTCAGAATAATAAAATAAATGCAAAACAAGAATATACATTAAAACAATTGAATTCATAAAATGTTGTTTAAAAACTAATTTCATTGCACAGTCCAAATTGTCCGGTCATATATTCCCGCGGCCCTTGAAGACACGACCCGGGTCTTACTGTTCATCTGAAATTGTTCCGAAAGTGTCTTCTGTGGTTGTGGCGTCCTCTGTAACGATAGTTTTGGTTTGAATAGTTATCTTCTCTTGTATTTTTCCGAAAATTGTCCAATTCGTCTTCTAGTTTGGTGATTCGATTCCGCATATGTTCTTTATCGCGTTGTAGATTGAATTGCTTATCGATTGCTTCACATCTTTGATCGTACAGCCCAAAATTAGATTCTTCAAGATTATTAATGCGTTCACGTAATTTTTCCATTTCTTTTTGGTCATCTGCGTTTTGTTTTTGAAGTTTTTCTAGATTGCTAACAACACTGGTATGATTTTGATTTAACTCTTTATATTTCTTTTCATAGTGTACACTTTTAATTTTGAATTTAACTCTCTCGGAATTCACTCGGTCGTGCCTGAGTCTTACGTTATCTATGAATTCCTTGTTGGAAAGAAGTCCATCAGTTCTATGGTATTAAGTTCCGAACAAGGAAACATTGACATAGCTTTCTGTTCTATGAATTTTCTCATTCTTTCTGCGTCACGACGTAACTTGGATTTCGATTTAACCTTAACAACTTTCACGTCCGGTTGTCTGTGAAAATTACACATTCTGGCGTAATGTCCAAAACTTCTGCACTTATAGCAAAATGACGTTTTTGCTATACATTGTCTAAAATGAAATTGATTGTTCAAAACTTACACAGGTAGTTGTCCATATGTTGAAAATTTCTTGTCTGAAAGGTAGTTCCATGATCAGACATTTGGTATCTCCAGTCTCGGCCAAAATTTCTGGTTCTCCGCGGATCCATTTTTCTGTTTGCTGGGGATCAGCTTCACAGGTAGAACAAGGTATCCGATAGACGCGTTGCCCGGATGTCCTAACACCAGATATAGCCGGGTAAAACGGCGTTCCGGCTAAATGGAAATCAAGAATATACATTAATACAATTGAATTCATAAAATGTTGTTTAAAAATTAATTTCATTGCACAGTCCAAATTGTCCGGTCATAGAAGCACCGATTATGCATTTATTGTGGGGCCACATGTTTATAATGAATCGTTTCATTGTAAATTTCGAGTAAATAATTGATTACAGAATGGGATTGAAAGAAAAAAAATGTAACGGGTTCTGAATGATTTTATTTTATTTCTTCCTAACCGAGTGCACATTTAGTGTTGACATAACACATGTTAAAGCCTTTGGTTCTGTATAGACTGTGCTTATTAGATTACAATGCTAGTAGTTTATTTAAAACAAGCTTTCGAAACCGGATATCACATTTCTTCTGTACAATTTCAAAGACTGTTTACACTTGAAACATAGGGAAAGTTGTTCGGCCAAATAGCCAAGTTAAACAACTCTTCTTTTTTCATTCCATGCTGAGACTACTATAACAAGATACATGTTTATTGTAGTAAACCTTGGTCAAATATCGTCGGTGCACTTATGGTAGGATTCAGGAGGGTGTGGATGGGGTTTTACATAATAGAGAATAAGGGTAAAAAAATATATAGAATGGAGAAAAATAGACCAAAAAATAAAGAATAGAGAATAGAAAATAATGAGATGCTAAAATTTAAAGAATTGAGAAAATTGGTATAAAAATATAGGAAAAAAAGAACCCATACCGCATAGTAAGCTATATAAACATAGTAAAGATCGTACTTTGTTGTGTCCAAATCTTGTGTTTAACGACAAGATTTACAACGAAATGCTTAAACAAGAGTTATTGCCTTGAACCAAAGCAGCAATTTTGAATCAAAAATTAAAATCCTTTCTAAATTTGATCGTTGAAAAGTCCGGTGGTGAAGAATTATCAAATTTTCAAATTCTAAGCTACGTGTAGAGCGTCAGTAGCAAATATTTCTCGAATATGGGGTTCATTGTGTTTTTACAGGATCTTTATGACGTACATTCTATATATCCTAATGATCGAAGCTATACTAAGTATCTCAAAAATCAATTTTATTTGAAATATCACATATATTGCTCTTAGTTGACAATTTCCGAATATGGCAACGCCTCAATTGAAGTTCCTTTTTAGGTGAAGTGTATTTCTTGGTGTACCAAATGTTGTCATATATTATAAAATATATAGGTTTAATGACGAATTGTAAGATATTCTAAATGAAAAAAGCTTCCAAATTACATGACTAAATAATCAAATTATCTAACAAATTATCTCTGTGTTAACATAAATAGAACCACATTAGCACATACTTACAACTTCTCGTCCAATCAAATTGCTTATATTTGCCTTCTAATTTTCATAGTACATACTTTTTCCATGTACTAAGTAACTACGCATGAATGACCACAAGGGTAAGATTTCATTGTATCGTAATCAAGATATTAAAACAAAAATTGCTACTGGCTATTTTGAAATAAATGCTGTGTTACAAATTAAACTAAATAGTGTGTAACTAGTTTTCAAATTGTTTTTCAAACATCCTACTATTTAATCTTTGGATCTAAAAATGTTTTTGACGATTAAAAGTTTCTTTCATTTAAATAAAGAGTAACACATATGTTTTTTTTTATACCTTGATTAGAGTACAACGCCATCTGAAAATTGTAATCATTTATCTTCCATGCAATTACTTTGTACACAAAAAAGAGTGAACCATGAAACCTTGTGAAGGAAAATTACAGCAATTTGATATATTTCGTCATGAATTGATTGATTATTGGTTGCTTAATGTCCAGTGACAAATATTTCATGCATGTAAACTATCCACTAGACTACCTATGGGTACATACCAGGGCAGATCCAGTCATTTTTAAAAGGGGTTCCAACCCAAGATAAAAGGGGGGTCCAACTGTATGTCCTCATTCAAAAGCATTGATCATCACAAAAAGGGCGTTTTCCATCCCCCTCCTGAACTCCCCCTCCCCCTTTTTGGATCCGCCAGTGCAAACTATCCATATGTGTAAAATTTATTATAGTTTTAGTTTTTAGGTGAAATTGAAAAAGATGTTTTCAAGATTGTAAAGCTTCCACTGCAATTTAATTATTGCCTGCTTTTGGTCAATTTATTTTGTCATCTTACCATGTGAAGAAGTACATGAATAGTAAAACACCGCTTTATGTCAATAAACATACTTACACCAGCAGCTACCATCTTTTCATTCTGGATTCAATATTTTACAATGATACTAGTGAGTAGATTTACAAAACTACGTACATGAGCTACACCTAGTCAGCCAAAACATATCAATAGACTAATTACAGGATTACTCAAGTTGTAAATATGTGCTAAATTGGATAGTGTATGGAAAGGTATATACTATGAAATTAAGAGCTCGGGGCAAGCCCCTCGCTCTAAATTTCATAGTATATACCTTTCCATACACTAACCGACACTTAGTGTAAATTACGACAACATTTTTTCAACACCAGAAATATGTGCCTGATTAAACCGAAATGAACTCTTTTCAAATTATGTTTAAATTTTGTTTTTATGTTATGTCGTTACACCAATGTCCCATGCTAGTGGTGGTGATGAGCGTTCACAAAATATTTAACATTGTTACATTCTTTATGTGCCTGTCTCAAGTCAGGAGCCTGTATTTCAGTGGTTGCCGTTGGTTCATGTCCGTCATATTTGAATTTTCGTAAATTGCTTTGTTAATGTAGACACTTCGCTTTCTCTACTGAATTGTTATATATTTTCCATGTCGGGGACTCTTGAAGCTGACTGCACGGTATAGGTTTTCTCATTATTGAAGGTAATTACGGTGGATTCCAATAACTTACATCCACTTCATTAAACTTCATTTGAACTAAAGTAGTTGTCTGATTGGCGATCATATAATATATTTTAATATATAAAAATCTCCTTAAAGTTTTTATTTGTATTGCTACAAGTGGCTAATCGGTCCGTGTATATTTGCGTTCATTCGTTTTTCATTTTGAAATATCAAAAACAAAAAACAAAGAACGAGAGTGTTTTCATTTTTCGTTTTTGATTTCTCAAAAACCAAAATGAAAACAAAAGTGTTTTCATTTTTTGTTTTTGATTTCTCTAAAACCAAAATGAAAATCAAAAGTGTTTCCGATTTCACTAATGATGAATTTTGTATGTAATTTTAATTATTTCTCGTTTTATTATGTACAATGTTTTCCTTTCTTGTTTCACAGTCATTGATAGTAAATAATGCCAATGTAAACATCCCGGTGTTCTTTCAACATGAAAAATTGTATCCTGCATTTTTTTTTAGTTGTAATCTTGGTCCTGCCTTTTTTATTTTTCACTTTATTCAGTCTTGCCTTTTTTTTTTTAATTTATCCTGACTTTTTATACATAATTTGTCATCCTGCCTTTATTTTTTTACCAAGTTGCTCATCCTGCCTTTTTTTTTTACTCAAAACTTCTGTCCTGCCTTTTTTTCAAATTTCATTCTAGCCCCCCCTCCCCCATAAAAATCAAATGGTAGCTCCCTTATCAGATCTATAGTATTTAAATCGAAGTTAATGTCGACGGATGCAAAATAGATATAGGAAGATGTGGTATGAGTGCCAATGAGACAACTCTCCATCCAAGTTACAATTTATAAAAGTAAACCATTATAGGTCAAGGTACGGCCTTCAACACGGAGCATTGGCTCACACCGAACAGCAAGCTATAAAGGGCCCCAAAAAATTACTAGTGTAAAACCATTCAAACGGAAAAACCAACGATCTAATCTATATAAAAAAGAGAAACGAGAAACACGTATGAACTACATAAACAGACGACTACTACTGTAATCAGATTAAAAAGTCTTTATCAATCTGAACAATAAGGGTGCGTGATCTTTACTTTTAAGTTTAGAAAGGTTGATCTAAGATGATTAGAATTGATGACCAAGATCCATCTGCCAGTATTATACGAACATTCAGGACGATAGTGTGTTTTGCTTGATCAATTGATTGAAAAACAAATTTGCGCAATTTCACAATTCAAACCGGGATTAGCATTTAATCATTTTTCCATTCGGAGCCTATTCAGTATTAGTTTTGCTTATTTGTGAAAGCTTTATGGTGACCTTAACTGGAGGGTGTGGATGGGGGTTTACAGAATAGAGAATAGTGGGCAAAAAATATAAATAAAAGAGACAATGAACCAAGACATAAAAAAATAGAATAATGAGGTGTTTAAATATGAATAGAACAAAATAATTGGCAAAAAGTAAAAAGAAATAAAGAATAGAGATAAATGGCCTAAAACACTAATTAAAGAATAGAGAAAAATGGTATAACATATCAAAGAATACAGAAATGAAGAACCCCGCATCCAGACCATCGTACTAGTTGCCTAAACCAACGTTATTTTGTCTCCGGTAGATTGTTATTGGTTATCATACGTTTTCTTTTTATTTCTTTGCCTATCAATTAAGACACGAGCTTTCATAATTTGCCAGCTTATTACATTATAAAAAAAGACTAAACCGAACATTACCCTGGATTTTTTTATTTTCATATTTTGACAAATTTTTTAAAGTCTTAGACATCTACACTACTAAAACTATTCGTTTTCAAATTCAGCAGTCATCGAAAAAATTAAGGGACATCCTTTCCGACAATTTCTATTCTCTTTAAATTGTGTGAACCTTACATCTCCATTAGGCAAAGTTGACCATGGGAAATTCGGTTGATCATATTATACAATTATAGCCTTTGTAGGAGGTCGATACAAGGATATATTGACCTGAAAGAAGTATATTGACTGAGGACGAAGTCCGAGGTCGATATACTTCTTTGGGTCGATATATCCTGTATTGACCTCATAAATAGGCTATAATTGTTATATTATTAAATTCCGACCATATTTGTATCAAAATCGTCATTTGATTTTGTTGTAATTCTATAGATATCATATTGTCTTCTAGACAATAACAACAGATTAGTTGTTATTTCATTTACTTTTTTGATTGTTTTTTTACATGTTATGTATTTGAAGATTTTTTTTCTTCAAATAATCGATCATAGATATTTTTTTTATAAAACTTTTAACAATATCATGAAATTCATAACATGACGTCACAAAGTATATCGGTTTTCAGATATTCTAAAAATAACCGTGCAATATGCTTTTTGCCGTGCAATATGCTTTTTGCTATCCGCCGTTTTCTCTCTACCTTCGAAAATATAGTTTAACATGTGACTATCCCTGAACGAATCAAATTAGTTAAAATATACGAATTAATAATATAGCTCCACATCTATGCAAGTATTATATACATCCCGTTCGCTTTTATTATTTTGGCTTTAGTGTGCTTGATGAAAATAAATCTTGAGAAGTCCTTTTGACGCATCAAATGTATGAAGTCTTATTTGCATAATAAACAACAGCAGTGAACTAACCAATTAAATCTGTTTTTAAAAGTTCTGAATGTATTTACCAAAAACGTCTCTGACAAAGTTGTAACATTCTAATTATATGAAAGGGAAATGCACATATAGCATACACAACTATATTTAAAGCGGAGGAAGATACCATATGTATATTCAAACTCGTAAGTCGAAGACAAACTAAAACGCCGTGGTAACAAAGTATAAATACAATGTTTATATTTATATAATTTTAAACACATATAGACAATATCAATTGAAGTAACTTTTAATTGTACTATGCAATCACATTTTATTTCATTGAAACAAGTAAGACACGACACATGTGGTAATTACTGGACGGATTTAAGCAATATCAGACAAAATAAGTTTTGATTTTAAAGGAAGATAACAGAAAAACAATAACAAAACCAAAATAACAGCCTTCGCAATAAATCTTGCATCTCAAGGTCTTCTATATTTCATTTTTAAATTAGTTTTGAACATACTTCATATCAATCAAGGTCCAGCCTTACACATATGTATATATATCTTTTCCATCGTAAATTCCGACACTTAGAACGCATCAGACGCACGAAATTCAGTTTCTTTCGGAACAAAAGTCTGTAAATTCGGTTATCTTTTTGTTAGAAATTAGCGTGATTTGAATGTGAAAAGTGTATATCAGATTTAATTTGCTTCTGATTTGCGTTTTTTGTCTAATTCACCTTGCAGAAGACCAAGGTTAAATATACAGGAACAGAACGATAGCACTGCAGCCAAGGTAAAACTTAGCGTAAAGCAATGCAAGCCACTGCAGTCTGTTTGACCTTTGAACCGAATACTACTATCGTACAACCATCCAAAAGCTTGTTGTAATAGAAGTCCACCAAATGCGTTACCAAGCATTATAGAACCCCAGTTACGTCCAAAATATTTCAATCCATAAAATTCGCTGATCATAGTCGGCGTTAGACACCAAAGAGCACCATTTGAAAACCCAATAACTAAATTGACGACTAGAATCATGGCAAACTTGTCAGAAAAGAATATAGAAAGCGCTAGAAATATTGTCTGCATTATGTTAAATCCAAAAAGAACGACAACTCTAGGATATCTTTCTACAAGTGCATCAGATAAAAAACCAGCAAAAAATTTTGACAGAATACCACAAACTGGATTGATTGTAGTAAAAACTGTCGTAAATTTTGTCATGTCGTATGACGCTAAATAAGTTCCAATATTATTCTGGAACATCAGTTGTAGTCCAGCACACATAATATAACCCCATGCTATAAAATGAAAGTCAAATCTCTTAATGAGAGACAACCCAGTGATGTCTTCACTGTGTTGTTGTGTTTTTGAATTGACAGAATCTTCAGTATTAATTATGATCTCTTCATCTGGGTCCGGATTATATGGATAGAATTTAAGAAAAACTGTTCCAAACATTCCTATAATGGCAAAACATATTGCGGATGTCAGATAAAAGCCTGTTAGATTTTGGTCCTCAGCATTGCGTCCTTTTGCAAAAAGAACACCGTAAAGAAATGACATCACTGCCGGTCCTCCACTGAATGAAGCGTCTAATAAACCGATTATTTTTCCACGATGTTTTGGACTGAAGTTGATGACGTTCGTTGTCATGGCAGCCATGTATAAGAATATTGCTCCAAAACCTTAAAATAGAATTAACAACCATAAAAACGCAGAATATGCTGTCTATATAAAGCAATCAGTAGTGAATTTTAACTGCATATCCTTATTTTTAGAAAGGTTAAAAGATAATAAAAAAAAACGATTCTGCAATGGCGAGATTGACCATTAGTAATACCTGTTTCTACCTCTATACTATGCTATGGAATATTGCACAATACAAGTAAAACTATAATATGTCGAACATGTACTTGATTACACAAAATGATCAGAAGAGGGGATGTAATCAGGAAACTTGCGCCATCCATCAAAGATGCTAAAATATGTAACTGCCACATTTAGCAAAACACGATTTCTTGTTTAATATCCTTGTGAAAATTATTTTTTTGATAAACACAAGAAAAAATCTTGTATTTAGTGGTTCGCATCTGTTGACCTTCATAATCCTTATATATGTTAGCGGCAATAAGTGAAATTATGCATTAAGCTTAAATCTTAGGTAATAATAAGATAACGCCTAGGCAGTAAGTCTAATGCCTAAATAATGTTAAGCATTACTCTTAAATCCTAGGATTTATACTTAAATCCTGAAAATTATGTCCCGGCATTAATGTTAATGCCTAAAATGAAAATGGGAGTAAATAAAAAGGAATTTATTCAAAGTTAAAGTAAATTTTGTACATGATAAAGAACTGAAGTTTGAATTACATGAAACAAAATCATAAGTAAAATATTGATGTTAAAACATATTGAATAAAATCTATAATTCAAATTAACCACTGTTAATTCGTTGTTCCCCATCCATACAGTAAGCTTGTCATGATTATTTCCGTTTGACCACTCGATACTACCCTTTGATTGGAATTGTGTTGTCTTCCCGTGAACAATAACTAGTTCTGGCCACATTAGCATAAATTCAGATATAACCTTAGCTGTAAATTCACGACCTTTGTCACTTTGCCGTTTTTCTTCTTCTCCCTTCCCTATGCACATTTTTCATGTTACAATTTTCACAAAATGGAAGAAATAGTACAATGGAATCAGGGAAAATGTTTGCGAAGTCATTAGTAGGTTGTTTAAATCTACGGTCTATAACATAACAATAGGCCGCTTTGACATATTTCTTTATTTGTTTGTTTTCCCAAAATACCACATAGTTCCTCTAGAAAAAACATAAACTTTTTGAAGTTTTCCTCATCATTTTCTTATACTTTAGTTACCAGTCTTTCAAACCTCCAAAGGTAAAAAACGTCATACCATTTTAAACTTTACTTTTGTTTTGGGTATATAAAGGCAACAGTAGTATACCGCTGTTCGAAATTCATAAATCGATTGAGAAAAAAACAAATCCAGGTTACAAACTAAAACTGAGGGAAACACATTAAATATAAGAGGAGAACTACGACACAACAGAAACACAATGTCCATTTTTCTGACTTAGTACAGGACATTTTAAGAAAAAAATGGTGGGTTGAACCTGGTTTTGTGGCTAGCCAAACCTTCCGCTTTTATGGCAATGTTAAATATAACATCAAAATGACAACATTACATGACAGGACTACAATACAAATAAATGGGAGAACATATAGGACAGAAAAACATACGAATAATAGATAACAAACGGTACCAGGTTTAAAATTTAAACGCAAGACGCGCGTTTCGTCCACACAAGATTAACCAGTGACGCTCAGATAAAAAAAGTTCGAAAGCCAAAACAAGTACAAAGTTGAAGAGCATATATAATCTTTGTTTTCCCTGATTCAAATCTATATTCGGCAAAGATTCGAGAAATTTGTTTTTGCTCAAATGTTAATAATCCAGATATCAAGAAGTGAACAGACAAGATGGGTATCTAAGAAAACTTACATGTACAATAAACCCGATGGAAAGATAATATGACTTGCAAAATTTCATATCTTCAGTTGTCTATTCTTGACTAGCCAAAACCAGCACGATCATTGAGATAAACTGTTATCACAGAGATATGTCTCGCTTTTTTGTAATTTTTATTATTCAAATGTTGAAATTAAAATGGCAATACTTAACAAGTTAGGTTAATATTCAAAGTCAATGAACCATGACTGAGGTACACGGCTAAACCACCTCCATGTAAATGAGATGCGCCAATGCTAATACAACTGCATACCAAATATCATTGACTTATTATAAGTTGTTCCCTTTAAACAAACCTACACAAACATTAACTTGTAAACTATGTAAAAGTTTCAAAGTCAATGAACCATGAAGAGGGGGTGGAGCTATATAATCTCCATGAAAACGATACTTACAAATGCAAATAAATTTGCATACCAAATATCATTGACTTAACATTAGCAGTTCATCTTAAACTGATCTTATCACAAACTAATACATGTAAACTAAGCAAAATTTTCAAAGTCAATAGACCATGACTAAGGGGGCTGAGCCAACTAATCTCCATTGAAATGAGATATGCCAATGCTTATACAACTGCATACCAAATATCATTGACCTACCACTAATGGTTCCTCATAAACTGACCTAATCACAAACTAATACATGTAAAATAAGCAAATACTTCAAAGTCAATAGACCATGACTGAGGGGGCAGGGCCAAATAATCTCCATGGAAATGAGATGTGCCAATGCTAATACAACTGTATACCAAATATCATTGACCTACCACTAATGGTTCCCCATAAACTGACCTAATCACAAACTAATACATGTAAAATAAGCAAAAGTTTCAAAGTCGATAGACCATGACTGAGGGAGCAGGGCCAAATAATCTCCATGGAAATGAGATGTGCCAATGCTAATACAACTGTATACCAAATATGATTGACCTACAACTTGTGGTTCACTACAAACAAGACCTAATCACAAACTAATACATTGTTCACGCCGCCGCCGCCGCCGCTGACGTCGTCGTCGCCGACGCCGGAAACAGCATACCTATGTCTCGCTTTTTGACTCCGTCAAGAGAGACAAAAAACCACATAAAAATATGAGTATGTTCTGTTTTGAATACGAAAAAATACTAAAAATTTAAGATCTTTTAAATCAGTTTATATCAAATTTTGGCATATGATTTTTTCGAATATTATTCCTTAGAATATTTCCCGAATGTACATGTGTTTGATAAACAAATATCCCAAAGTTAACTTATTGCCTGAAATGATGTTTGGCAATAGGTTGAAAAATCATCATCAGATTTCAGGAAATAAGCTTAATGCCTGAAAATTTCAGACAATAACTTAATACCTAGGCGTGAGCTTATTGTCTAGGATTTAAAACATATATACACCACATACTACATTTATATTGTCATGCAGTCCATTCGAATTATTAACTGTTTTTACATATTCATTTAAATTATCTAACAAATATCTTGTTGTGCTTGTGGTTGTCTAAATGTTAGTATTGTTTCTGTATTTTTCGCTGAGATTTTCGGAAAATATAACAATATTTGTTGGTATAAACGAACACTTGTGAGTTAACGTTGCGGAATCTAGCAGATGATTGCGTTCAAACCGGTACTATTGGTTCGTCTTGAACAGTCCACTTGTAGTGAGGCCTGAACTTTTGCACTGTGTTGTAGGTCTCACTGTAAATTTTAAATTAAAGAACAGCAATTGTTCTTTTGATTTAGTTTTTTTTTGTCAAGTGAGAGTATGGACTTTAATTGTGTCATAAACTAATACGCTATATGTATGCTTTCTTTTCCATTATACTAATATAATAATAATTCTATACAGTACTAATTACAGTATACCAATTACCTGAAATAAAATAGTAGATATCTTGTAATCCTGCTTTGTTCGCATAAAACTCCTCCGTTAATGTAGCACTCCATAATAATGTAAACCCAGCCGAAGCTATGATGAGCCCGCATAAAGATGCTATTCTTGGTCCGAACTTTTCGCATACAATACCAGCAGGAAATCCTAGAGATATTCCGAAGTTTGACATCGAACCAAACAATTCAACTGTAATACAGATGTAAATGAAAGACATGTCCAATACACATAATACACATACATACACTTATTGTATAAATATTTCAGAAAACTATATATCACTATAGAAATAAGTAAATATGGAACGATTGCAAATGAGATGACTTTCCAACAGAGATAGAATGAAGTAAATGTACGCACCTTCAGTCAACCGTACGGCCTTCAACAATGATAAAAACCCATAACGTATAGTCGTCTGTAAAAGGCCCCCACATGAAAAACGTGAAACAATTCAAACGAGAAAACTAACGATCTTATTCATAACAGAACAATTTACGAAACACACATATGAAAGATAATGGTCATTTTGTAAAGAAAAAGGGGACACTTTTGATGTTATGAAAGTGATATCAAAATATGTAAGTTTTCGATTTTATTTGAATTTAAAGCATTTTTCCTTGCTGTTTTCCCCAACTAAGTATGTTTTAGTTTCCTATTAAATATAATCAGGATAATCTACATATTCGTTGAAAGTAATTTATCTTTTTTTTCAATTTGTATCTGGTGAAAATAAGATATCCATTAGGTATAGAGTTCCATCTTCCGGTTGATGTTATTTTATATTTCTTCTATTTTTTTAAGGTTGTTTTACTATTTAATTTTATTCTAAATTTAAAAAGTATAATCGTCTTAAACAACAATGAATCTATTTCATGGGTCATTTGTCTGACATTATACTTTTGTTTTATTACTTTTGGAAATTGAGTTCGTTGGCAAAGTGACCTATTTGTAATGGCACAGCGTTAAACCACAATCGGTCAACCAATCAACAATCTTCCAATAAAAAATCATTTTGTTGTAAGTAAGATAATAACAATTAAAAGTAAAATCGCACTACCTTCAGGCTGGGTATAGTTGAAATGCTTCTTTACAGCCACTATATAGGCACCATATGCATAGACAGACCCGGCAATCGCCATTCCTAAACATCCTGCAACCAACGCTAAGACACGCGGAAGATGTTTCTTAACATTAAACATTTTCGATCACAATATCTATTACTGTAATTTTTAATATGTAATAGATACATGTATCTATAATCATGTGTTAAACGTTATCACATGATATAAATTTTTAACATGATACACTACATGTAGTACAATATCCGAGTATTTATATCTAATCAGCCTAATAGAGATAAGTGTACGTTTATATTGATTGGTGTTTAAAAATTACTGTTACTAAGCACATACTTACAACTTCTCGTCCAATCAAATTGCTAGAATTTGCCTTCTAATTTTCATACTTTTTCCGTGTACTAAGTAACTATACGCATGAATGACCACAAGGGTAAGATTTCATTGTATCGTAATCAAGATATCAAAACAAAAATTGCCACTGGCTATTTTGAAATAAAATGCTGCGTTCCAAAATAAATTAAATAGTTGGTAATATAGTTTTCACATTGAGTTTTAAATATCCTGCTATTAAAAGCTTTGGCTAAAAATTGTTTTTGACAATTGCAAGTTTCTTTCATTTAAATAAAGAGTAACACATATGGTTCTTTATACCTTGATTAGAGTACAACGACATCTTAAAATTGTGATAATTTATCATCCATGCAATTACTTTGTACACAAAAAAGTGTGTACTATGAAACCTTGTGAAGGGAAGTTAAGGCAACTTGATCTATTTCGCCATGAATTGATTGATTGATAATTAGTTGCTTAATGTCCAGTGGTAAATATTTCATGCATGTTCAGGACGATGTCATGAATTGAAAAACCGTAATAATGTCTGAATGCCACCTATATATATATATGTATATCTTTTAGTTTTTACTTTGAAATAAAAAAAAAACATAAAACCTAGTATCTTTGATCTATTGGTAGTTGCATTTTAATGAGTATCCGCTAGACTATCTATAGGGACATACTAGGGGCGGATCCAGCCATTTTTATAAGGGGGTTCCAACCCAGGATATAAGGGGGGGGGGGTCCAACCATATGTCCCCATTCAAAAGCATTGATCGTCCAAAAATGGGGGTTTTCCAACCCCCGGACCCCTCCTTTTGGATCTACCACTGCATACTATCTATATGTTTCAAATTTATTATAGCTTTAGTTTTACTGAAAAATGTTTTCAAGACATGTAAAGCTTCTTACATATGTAAGCGTACTTTCATTCCGCCGTGTATTTATTCCGGGTAACTGTTTTTCACTAGAGAATATTGGATGTAAATAGTGTGAAAGCGTCGATCTTGATATCGTTGTTTTGTTTGTATAAGACCAGTTTATTGTTTACATAAATAAATGGGTTTAAATTAAAACGATTAATCTGAGCCAATCTAGTAAATAATATTGATGATGATGAGGAGGATGTTTTTATAACTCAAAATACTGTATCAATGATCAGGACATTGAACTTGATATACACCTAACTTAAAGAGCAGATTTGTTCTTACATAAAGTTTCAATTATAGAAGCATCCTTTGATATTGACTTAGAAGATATGATTTTATAGATTTGCATAGAAAATTATTTAAATCTAATTCGTTGATAACCATTATTGCTTTATCTTGTGTTCAAATGAATACTAATCACTTCACAATTAATGTATGGATCTAAAGCACTTGTGTAATTAATCCCGGTATAAAATAACTAGTGCAATCATTCCGGTACAAAATCACTAGTGTAATCATTCCTTATTTAAAAACATTATTGTGAACATTCCTTGGATGAAAACTCTCCACTTTTTACATAAATCAACTATGCAAGTTTCAAATACACTAAAAACTATAAAGCCACATTTTATATATCTTTTTAGAACCTTATAATGACTGGTGGATGTTTTACACTGGACCCGGATAGAAAAACCAAGTGAATTTTCGTTGGTGGATAAAAATCACTGGGGATTTTCTTCCTCCGGATAAACTACACTGGCGGAATCATACCACTATTACATCCACTGCAATTTAATTATTGCCTGCTTTTGGTCAACATATTTTGTCATCTTACCATGTAAGGAAGTACATGTATAATAAAACACTGCTTTATACCAATAAACATACTTACACCAGCAGCTACCATCTTTTCATTCTGGAGTCAAGGGCCTTTTGAAATCACATATTTTACAATGATACTAGTGTGTGGATTTACAAAATTTCGTTAATGACCTCCGTTTTACAAACACCTGTGATACAAGTAGTCAGCCAAAATAAACTCAATAGATCAATTAAAAGGTTACTCGAGTTGTAAATATGTGCTTAATTGGATAGTCTATGAAAAGGTATATATACTATGAAATTAAGAGCTAGGGGTGACAGAATATAAGTTCCCCCATAATATTTGTTCCAAAGAACTTTAAGCATATAACTAAAGTTCCTTATATAATATTTTATCCAATGCTTTACGAAAATTTCCTTCACAAAGGATAAAAATATTACATAAGGAAAGTTCCTAATGGAACTTTTGTTATATGCTAAAAGTTCTTTGGAATAAATATTACGGACAATGTTTTATATAATAAAAGTTCCAGGAATATTTGTTATATTATAAAAGTTCCAGGAGAATTTGTTATATTATAAAAAGGTCAAGGAATATTTGTTATATTATAAAAGATCCAGCATATTGGAATATTATAAATGTTTCAGGAATAGTTATCATGGTTATTAGATAATTAAAGTTCTAGAAATATTTATTATATGATCAAAGTTCTAGGAATATATACTACAATATCCAAAATTATTTCTAGCTACACATGTATGGAACTAAATTTCCAATAAAAAAGTACAGGCATTTTCATCTGAAATTTGTGGCTAACTTCATGCTTGACTAAAGTATAAGCTAAACTTTCTTCATTGGTACAGACTAACGGACCATTTAGTTAAGTAAGTCACAGTGGAGCAGAATAAGAGCCATCGTTTAATTATGTACAATTTTTGTTGTAATCCTCAGACTCCATTCTTTGTATGTACTACATATACAGGTAAATGTCATGTGAGGTAAACATTAATTAAGATGTAATCAGGTGTAAAAAATCAAATGACACTCTTTCTTTAAAGGAACAAATATTATGAAACTATATGACGTTTTAGTTCCAGGAAAATATCTTATGAAGGTGGAAATAGTATTATGTAATGTTTGTTCCCAAGAACTTTTATTATCCATAGTTTTGTTCCAGGGGGAACCTCGCTCTAATTTTCATAGTATATACCTTTTCATAGACTAACCTATACATGTAGCTCTTTCACTTTTATCTTAAAGGTACAAGTATGTAACCCCCGGACATATGATTCATCTATCTCTGAGAAAATCATTTTTCTTTTTTTGTATTGAGAAATCGGCGACTTATTTTGACACATTTGAATATCAGTACGAATAAAAGGTTACATATGGTGTAAAAGTCGAAGAAACACCAATTCAACAATATCATCAACTCAGATTCATTGTAAGCCATATAGAGGAACAACTAATTGACAAAAACTGTTTATCAACATGTAGTTCCCCCACTAACTCTCTCTGTTTGTACCAATGTTACGATTAATGCAACTATGGTTACACGGCGGTCTCTTCTCGATCTGAGTTCGTGAGGCAATAATCTAAAAGATACAATTTATAAATCCATGGTTATACAGTCTCTTCTCTATCTGCGTAAGAGTAATAAGGACCAAAAGGATACAATTTATAAATCAATGGCAATACAGTCTCTACTCTATTTGTGTAAGTGAAACAGAGACCCATAGGATACGATTTATAAATCCACAGTTATACAATTTCTCATCTATCTGTGTAAGTGGAGCAGAGACCCAGAGGGTATGATTTATAAATCCACAGTTATACAGTCTCTCATCTATCTGTGTAAGTAAAGAAGAGACCCAGGTATGATTTATAAATCCACAGTTATACAGTCTCTCATCTATCTGTGTAAGTAAAGCAGAGACCCAGAGGGTATGATTTATAAATCCACAGTTATACAGTCTCTCATCTATCCGTGTAAGTAAAGCAGAGACACAGAGGGTATGATTTATAAGTCCACAGTTATACAGTCTCTCATCTATCTGTGTAAGTGGAGCAGAGACCCAGAGGGTATGATTTATAAATCCACTGATTATACAGTCTCTCTTCTATCTGTGTTAGTGAAGCAGAGACCCAGATGATACAATTTATAAATCCATGATTATACAGACTTTTCTATATCTGTGTAAGTAAAGCAGAGACCCAGAGGGTATGATTTATAAATCCACTGTTATACAGTCTCTCCTATATCCGTGTAAGTGAAGGAGAGACCCGGGGGTACAATTTATAAATCCATGATTAAACAGACTTTTCTATATCGGTGTAAGTGAAGCAGAGACCCAGAGGGTACAATTTATAAATCCACAGTTATACAATCTCTCCTCTATCTGTGTTAGTGAAGCAGAGACCCAGAGGGTACAATTTATAAATCCACAGTTATACAATCTCTCTTCTATCTGTGTTAGTGAAGCAGAGACCCAGAGGTTATAATTTATAAATCCACAGTTATACAGTCTCTCATCTATCTGTGTAAGTGAAGCAGAGACCCAGAGGGTACGATTTATAAATCCGTGGTTATCCAATCTCTTCTCTATCTGTGTAAATGAAGGAGAGACCCAGGGGGTACAATTTATAAATTCATGGTTATACAGACCCTCCTATATCTGTGTAAGTGAAGCAGAGACCCAGATGATACCATTTATAAATCCACGGTTATACAGACCCTCCTGTATCTGTGAAAGTAAAGCAGAGACCAAAAGGATGCAATTTATAAATCCATGGTTATACAGACTCTCATCTATCTGTGTAAGTGAAGCAGAGACCCAGATGATACAATTTAGTAATCCACGGTTATACAGACCCTCCTATATCTGTGTAAGTGAAGCAGAGACCCAGAGGGTACAATTCATAAATCCATAGTTATGCTGTCTCTCATCTATCTGTGTTAGTTAAGCAAAGGCCTAGTCGGTACCATTTATAGATCCATGGTTATACAGTCTCGCCACTATCTGTGTTAGTGAAGC